GCTGTGTTTACTACGCTCAAACATTCAGTGTAAATCTATTTTTGTTTAACCTGTTGATTGCACCCTTAATAACCTATCAGACGGTAGTTGATTTTTATTATTTATTAGAACCCAGCAGGCAGTTTGTTTGTGGATATATTTACATTTACCATCAATTTTGATACAAAAGTACGCAAAAATGACCCTTCCCTTTTAGAAACACTCTATTTCTTCTCTATTTAATTCTCTATTTTCTTTTCTTGTCATGTCGCGAAATCTACTAAGCTGAAAATACGTGAAATCAACGAAAGAATAGTTAATAAACGTTTATTTTGCAGTCAGAGCTTATTTTAATTTACACATGAAAAACGTAGGTAACGCACAGAGAACAAATGGTGCTAGGGAGTTGAACAAATATGTATTCGACGGAGTTCTACTTCCCATAAAAATTTCAACTTTCTACCTGTATGCAATCGGGTTTTACACAAAAAATATTGTTCAGTAACGCACAGAGAAAAAAGGCCCTCGTTTCGAAGAAGATGCGAAAGAAGTGACAAATCCTACGAATGGCTTCATGTTAATGAATTATAGTCGTGAGAGTTTGTGTAGCTAAGAATCGGAGCTATCTTTTGCTGAAAAGAAAACATTGATACCTCGAAAAATGAACGAGTAATTGACAGAATATTAGCACAGAGATTTCGGTAATATCCAGAGATGATTTTTTTCAAAACATTCCTAATTCTAAAATTTTGCTTCGCATTTGGAAATCTCGCTGCGGAATATCAAGGTAAAGATGTTCATTTGTATTTCAAGCAGTCACTACTGTTTTTATATCAAGATTTCAAATAATGCTTAAACAAGGTTTTGCTCGAGAAAAAAGGATAATAGGATAATTCACTTTCATAGAAATAAATCAGAAAAAAACAGTCCATTTCGATGATGCATCGCCTTACATTCGGCACTCGATAACATCCGGATGAATTCAAACGACGTTGTGCAATTTCTGAGTGTTCTTGACTGACTTCGTCGTAGCGAATAACTGTTGAAGTTTTAATTTCGATGCGTCAATCTCAGTTTGAGAGATTTCATTGACAATAATTGTGCTTGTTTTTTTGGTTCGCGATATGAACGAAATCGATAGCTGTTCGACATAAGTGTTTCTTTGCCATTATTTCTTACCACACCATTCGCTTCACGGTACCTCCAATGGCGTCCACGACACCTTTTCCGTGGGACGTGGCGAAAAAATTCCACGATAATTTTAAAGCATGTTCTGCCACCGTCCTTGTCAGATTTTGAAATAGATATCGTTGTTTAAATTGTGATGCAGCTCCATCGCTAAAGCACACAATCTCTTCCAAATCTGGTAAATACTGCTTCAGTTGACAAATGACATGATTCAAACATACGTGTACACAATATTTATCATGTGTGACGTTGTCGCAAACCAGTGCAAACGAGTAATTGTTCGCTCCGCACCATGCATGCGCTGTAAAAATTGACACGGTTTTTGTGTTCCAGTGAGCCGACTGAATGGCATCCTGCTGATCCATAGCGAAATTCTCAGCATAGTCGACTCGTAGAATAACTTTTCGATGATCGGTACTTTCTTTGAGTCGAACTTTCTTTCTCGAACAGAGAACTTTGCGTGCGCTTGATAAATACATAATAGATATTGTTGAATTAAACCAGACACATCCTGAACACAGT